TATTACAGACCATTATAAGACACTTTTTAAGTAGCCTTATAAAATGTAAAAAATGTATCTTTATGTGTGCGCTGTTCCTAAATCTGTATTAACTAAGGATAACTATAACCAAAAACTGTTTTTATTAAAACCTTGTTTTTTGGTTGGAGTAACCCTTCATTTGTTGTTATATTGTCAGTATTTTGTACCATTTATAACAGCTTTAGTAAGCCTATTATTATACTAAATTGTATATGCACTACTTATATATATGTAAAGTCTCAATTCCATTGATGTTGTCACTGTATGTCTGCACACAGTAATTAAATATCACCTATATAACACTGTATATTTATGTAAATCTAAATTATGTCATATAATGTTGAATATCACTTTTATACCCAAAGGCATGTTGCGGAAAAATCCAATGATATGCAAATAATTGCAGTCACCTCTCACTTCTTTAAAATTCCAAGCCACATGTATGCATAATCCGTTAGAAATAACACTTTTTTAAAAACACAGTATTTTTTGCCAATGCTGGATTATCTTAATAGACCGATAACATGGCTGGTCATTAATGCATTGAGTCAGGGAAAACAAATACACAGTATTTATAGTGTCATAAACAGTTCTACACCTTTTTTTTAATCATTTGGTTTTTGGTTTTTACATTTTCAGCACAATATATTAAATATATCAGGATTTATTTATTTTTTTTGCACCCAAACTGTCATTTTTTTAATATACCTTTTTCTGTCACTTTAAATTTGTAGATCTTTTCTGAAATTTATATTTGTATGAAAAATTGGAGAATGCACATAGAGAAAAACGATTTTACCATTTAGACCACTTTCAGAACAATTTAATAGATGGAATACAGATTAGAAACCAAAAACACTTTTTAGAACACTTTGAAAACTCTCCCCACAGCTGTAGGCAAACAACAGCAGTACTGTATTTAACGGATTGTAGAAATCAGGAAATTAAACCATTAAAGGTGCTATTTGCTTGTTCTATATTTACCTGACATCTCGAGAGATTAAACTGGATTGTTCATTACTATTCTCTCTCAACATTATGGCTGCTTTGTTGCAGGTGATTTATTTAAATTCCTATTTTAGCTGACATGAACTCACACACAGTGCATCCCCACAATACTTTCATGTACATACAGGAATATTCCGGAACAATCTGGAAATTTCTATATAAGCACAGTGTTTTAATATGTGTTAGCTAGGTTGGTGCTTTCAATACTGTGTTTTAAGATATCACACAAAATGCAACATAACACCCAACATTCAAAATGGATAAAGAGGGACACTTTCATTTTAGGGGTGTGAGTGGCAGGGTGAGGATGTTCCTGGGACATTTTAGGTGACTTACTAATAACAATTTATGTAACTAAAATTTAATTTAGAACAAGAACAATGTATTCAATTTGTACATGACATGGGCACAGTCGCCTTGTCGGCCTCTGCTTAAAAAACCCCCACCAAATATCCCATCCCCAATAAAGCACTGACACCATCTTTTTGGCAAAATTATATCACAGCTTTATTTGTAATTAACATAAATTTAAAGGTCATTGTCAACAGCAGGCCAACGTTGGCCTGCACAATTAACATCCTGCATTTACAATTAACCCCTTGACAATGACCCACCCCCACATAACATAATACCCAAACATTGAACATTTTATTTAACATGAACTTGACCATTGCCACCAAAGGGCACCATCCATTGCCACCAAAGGGCACCACAAGTGTAGGGGCATACCGAGACACCCCATACACACCCCGGTTCGGAGCTACCTACGAGCTCGAACCTACCAAACCAGTCCAAAGGCCTACCCATTAGCCCTGAACTCCAAACTTTTTCCCCATCTCACTCTTTTCTCCCCCCCAACTTTACTCTCCATCCCCCGCCGCCGTGACCAAACGGGAAACACCTGAAAGCAAAGGGAGGGTGGGTTGGACAACAAACAGGTAAGTGTAACTTAGATTAAAGTGATCCTTGGTCCCAAAATGGCCACTACTTATACTCCCCTTTAAAACTCCACCCCACCATTTCCAATGACCAGTCCCTGACTACTGACCTTTAGATGGCCTGTCTCCTGGCAATGTCAAGGCCCACTCCCCTTAACTACGCTGCTCCATGGGCTACAGACTGATTGCTAAACACATTTATTGTAGTTTAAAGACACATTACTGGAAGCATTATTGCTGTGGAGCTCTATTATACAAACCAACAATATGGAGCTCGGAAAAAAGGTCCACTGCAAAAGAAAAGAGGGACAGAGGGATTTTGGGCCAAAAATATGGACTTTTTCCTCCTAAATAGAGACACTTGGGAGATGCAAGGTATGCATGCAAAGTTCTAGAATATGTGTGCTGGTTCTAATGCAAGTTT